ATTTGATTTGATTTGATTTGATTTGATTGGTCTTGTATGCTGCCCACTCCCGAAGGACTCCGGGAGTGGGCGGCATACAATAAACAAAGGAAGGGGATAAATAGACAAATAGACAAACAACAATTTAAAATACACAACATTCATAGTTACCGTGGGGCTGGCTATTTCAACAGCCCCCCAGCCTGCCGGAGCAGCCAGGTCTTAGTGGCTTTGCGGAAGGCCGGGAGACATTGTTGTTCTCTATGAAATAGCTAGGCTCTTTGGATCATTGAATGGGGATTCCATGGTCAAGAGATCTATTGTGAATTACCTAGATTCAAACGCTAGTTGCTTCTTATTCTATATTTCTGTTTTTACTCTATAAAGTAGGCTGTGATTATACAAATGCTAGCTTATTGGGAAACTTCCCTTCCCTTCATGGTATACTTGCAGCCAAAAAAGTAAAACCAGGTCAGGTTAGTCCAAAGATCAGGAAATAGGTAAGAGAATCCTAGAAAGTAAATATAAATTTATAACAGTGGTGTATTTCCATATTTTTTTTTCTACTATCAATTTGCTCATGTTCAGAAGCATCCAGGCAGGTAGGCAGAGCTTCCCACTGCTGCCACAACCGGTTAACCTGATCCGGGCCGAACTGGGATCGACCTCTGATTTATAACCCATTAAAAGGTTTATTTGTTTTTTGTTAGCTTATTGGTAAACTTGTTATTGTAATTTATCGATTAGTTACTCGTTATTTGGTTTTAGTCCAGAGGGTCCTCTTGTTGGAGAAGATTTCAACCGCTCTTTCCACAAATCTAGCAAGTGTGTTAACCACAGTAAGAAATCATGATCAACATGGTTTATTTAATCAAATGATTAAGAATATTTGGTTTCATGTAATGAGTGAACCCAATCATAGTCATAGCTACTGAAACATGTGTCACTAATATCTTGTTCCCTTGAAAACATCTTAACCTTTGCCCATTTACCCAAAATGTTGCCCATCAGTCACAGAGGCACAGTGGTTAGAGTGCAGTACTGCAGGATACTTCTGCTGACTGACAGCTGATTGCAATTTGGCAGTTCGAATCTCACCAGGCTCAATGTTAACTCAACCAGAGGTGGTATTTAGCAGGTTCTGACCAGTTTTGCACAACCGGTAGCAGAAGTTTTGAGTACTTCAGAGAACTGGTAGATACCACTTCTGACTGGCCCCGCCCACTTCTATTCTCTGCCTCCCGAGTCCAAGCTGATTGGGAGGAAATGGGGATTTTGCAGTAACCTTACCCTAGAGTGCAGAGGGAATGGAGATTTTACAGTATCCTTCCCCTGCCACAGCCACCAAGCCACGCCCACAGAACCTGTAGTAAAAAACTTTGAATCCCACCATTGTAATTCAGCCTTCCATCCTTCTGAGGTGGGTAAAATGAGGACCCAGATTGTCGGGGGCAATAGACTGACTCTGTAAACTGCTTAGAGAAGGCTTTAAAGCACTCTAAGTGCTATTGCTCTCAGCACAGCTTCTGGGAGAATGTTTTACCTCTGCAGTTGATGCTCCTTTTCTTTTTTGGTCAGCCCCTGCCTCGCTCCAGGTGTACCAAAAGCTGTCTTCCTGGCCAAGCCAAGATGGTCTTAGAAGGAAGACCACTTTGCTGCTATGGTTGTGCCTCGTGTGCAGAAGGCACCATCTCCACTCAGGAAGGTAGGAGACATTGGGGAAGGGGGAGAAATCTTGAACAGTGGACAGGAAGAGACACTGAAGCATTTCCATTCAGGAATGTTTAGAAGCAAGGTTAGCAACTTTGGGTAACAGGTCTGTAGAGAGAACAAAAGATGGCCTTGATAGAGATAGACAGGAAGAGAAAAGGAACTAAAGAATTTGTTTAGAATATGCAGTTAACAATCGGTAGCAGCTCAGAGACATTTCCCTAATTCACTAAACTATGAAATGAAATTCAATGGCGAAAAAAGTAAGGTTCTACTTTTAGGCAACAAAAACGAAATGCACAAGTACAGTATAGGTGGTACCTTGCTCAACAGTAGTAACTGTGACAGGGATCTTGGAGTCCTAGTGGACAACCATTTAAATATGAGCCAGCAGTGCACAGCAGCTGCCAAAAAAGCCAACACAGTTCTAGGCTGCATAAACAGAGAGATAGAATCAAGATCATGTGAAGTGTTAATACCACTTTATAAGGCCTTGGTAAGGCCACACTTGGAATACTGCATCCAGATTTGGTCACTATATAAAAAAGATGTTCCTATGCCTGACACGCACTGTGCATGCGTTCACAGTTTAAAAAAATCTTCTCTTCCAAGTTTCTTCGGAGGAGTAACACAGCTGATTCTTGCAGCAATCTGTTCTGCCAGGTGAATCAGCTTAAACGATAGAGGCAGGAACATAGCGTGGGTGGGCCCATCTGATCATCAAGGCGAACTGGTTCACTCCCAGCTGATCATCGGAGCTACCAGTTTGCCTGAACCGGTCCGAACCGGTAGAATCCCACCCCTGATGCCCACCTCAGTCTCTTGGATTGCTGTAATACACTCCACATGGGCTGCCTTTAAAAAAAATTTGTAAGCCTCAGTTGTTGTGAAATACAGTCGCAGGCATGATTATGTGTGCTTCCAGAACATCAGTGGTTCTGCTCCATGAGCTGCACTGGCTGCCAGTCTGCTCCTAGGGGCAATTCATGGTGCTGGTTTTGTCCTTTACAGCCCTTCACCTCATGGGGCAATGTATATTTATATATGGGGCCTCTCTGTTATAGGCCCAAAGAGTTAGTCCTTCTCTGCCATGGCACCCACTTTATGGAATATACTTCCCGCTGAACTGAGCTCATCTCCATCCTTCTTCATTTTCCAGAGTCACTCAGGTGATGTCCTCATAGTTGGGTGTCTTAGGGGTCCATTGAGATTTTGAGGTGGATCACTTGCTAATCTAATTTCTGTTCAGGAGAGGTACTCTACTCTACTCTACTCTACTCTACTCTACTCTACAAAACAAAACAAAACAAAGAAAACAAAACAAAACAAAACAAAACAAAACAAAACAAAATGTCTCATTTAACAGACCAGGATATTGGGGCATAATATCTTAGCTATAACTAATTATATTCCTATTCAAAAAGAGTGTTTTATTATATTCATGTAAAATTAATATTTGAGGTCTTGCCTGTCTTCTTCCCAGATGCAGAGAAGTGCACAAGATGTCCAGAAGATCAGTATCCAAACAAAGACCAAACCAAATGCATTCCCAAGAAAGTAACCTTCTTGTCTTACAAAGAAGACTTGGGGATAATCTTGGCTTCCTTTGCTCTCAGCTTGTCTTTGGTTGCTGTCTTCATCTTAGCAATCTTCATCAAATTCTTAGAAACTCCCATAGTCAAGGCCAATAACCGGGACCTCTCCTACATCCTCCTGGTCTCTCTTCTGTTGTCCTTCTTGACTTCCTTCCTCTTCATTGGCCGTCCAAGGGCAGCCACCTGCCTTCTCAGGCAAACTTCCTTCAGCATCATCTTCTCTGTTGCCGTCTCTTCCATCTTAGCAAAAACGATTACAGTGGTACTGGCTTTCCTGGCCACAAGACCTGGGAATGCTGTGAGGAGATGGCTGGGAAAGACTCTGGCCAACTCCATTGTCCTTTCCGGATCTGGTCTCCAAGCTTCCCTCTGCACCATCTGGCTGGCCATTTCTCCCCCATTCCCTGAGTCTGACAAGCAATCCCAGTCAGAGGAGATTGTTCTGAAGTGCAACGAAGGCTCTGTTGCCATGTTTTATGGTGCGCTCTCATACATGGGCTTCTTGGCTACCATCTGCTTCATGGTGGCTTTCCTAGTCAGGAATCTACCTGGAGCCTTCAATGAAGCCAAGTTGATCACCTTCAGCATGCTGGTCTTCTGCAGTGTTTGGGTATCTTTTGTGCCCACCTATCTGAGTACCAAAGGGAAGTACATGGTTGCTGTGCAGGTCTTCTCCATCCTTGCCTCTAGTGCTGGGCTGCTGGGCTGCATCTTCATCCCCAAATGCTACATTATTTTGATACGGCCTGACTTGAATACAAAGGAGCAACTAATGGCAAAAACTAAAGATGACTTGAAAGCAAGCATAAAACAATCCTAATTGTCATAACCCTCTAAGGTGCCACTACATCATAGATTGATTAGATATTCCAAGGGAATCTGGTGAATGTGTTTGAAGTGCTGTATACCTTCCATTACTGGGGAACATGCATATAATGATATGTGTCTTAAACTGTTTGGTGGAAGTATTTGATGGGGAGAGCAGTATTTCCTGACCCTTTTCTTGAAGACTCTTTGAATAAAAACCAGTGGAGCTGGAAGCAAACTCAGACAGTGAGGAGGTTGGAGAGGAACATGGGCCAGTCCTAAAGTCTGGGGAAGATTCTGATGAGGGCTCTGTGTTGGAGGCAGAGATGGAGACAGGGCTGTCTGACAGTTATCAGCTGCCTTCAGAGTCAGATATCAGTGGGGCAGAAGAACAGCTGGAGCCTGTTCCCGATGTGCACATGCGCAGAGCTGCCAGAAGGAACAGCTAAGAAACAAGTGCCAACTCGGGAGTAAAAGGCACAGGGGGATGGTGAATGCCCCCTCATAGGGAATAAAGAGGAGTGAAAGGTGAGAGGAGCTTGCAGGAGACAATTAGTTTAATTCATTAGGGTGAAGGTCTGCTCCTGATTTCTTGCCAAGTAATTGCTGCTACAGAGTGGTATTTGGAAGATATTGGCCTGGCAGCTCTTCAAGTATGATAAAGGTCTGTAGTTGTGAAATCTCTTGAAAGACTGTTGGCTGGGACTTTGCTGGAGAGGAATTCCCTTTACCTGAAATAAGAAGTTTTATCGGGATGTGCTCTTCGTGCTTTTGGGAAGTCTAGGTGAGAACAAAACCTTGATGACAGCAAGGAAATGTTAAAATTTCAAATAACAGTCAAAGAAAACATTCTAGCAAAATTAATTCATTGAGAAATATTTCTGAATGACTGGGTTCGTCAGACTGGCCACAGCCTGCTCCCTAGGAAAGAATGACTCTTGACTCCATAGGTGTTAAGAGAAAAGGTACTTTTACTAGAGGTGCTGAGTACAGCAGTAGCAAGGCCAGCTCTGAAAAAAAACTGCACAAAAATCATATATTGAAAGTGTGGGAAGCCCCCACCCCCTGGCCGAAGAATGAAATATTTTGGAAAATATTAAAAAGGCAGAATATTGTATTTCCCTAAAAGAGAAATGGAGAAACATGCTCTTAAAGACAAAAACCCTGCTCCCAAATAGAAATTGAGGCGGCCAGCCTTTAGAAATGCAGATTTGGTAATCCATTCAGAAAGACTGGGTAAAGACAGAATCTCAGATAAGCAACAAACAAAAGGTTGCCAAAACTAGCTCAGACAAACACCTAGGATTTGCATTTCCTCTTTTGCCTATAGAGCCAGCTATGACCACTACATAACCTCTACATGACCACCATAGGAATCTGACAACAGCTAATAGAATACTAAAGGACATGTTCTTGTACAGAAACAGGAAGCTCAAATACAAAGCCCAAAGAAGGTACAAAAACCAACCCGCTGTCAACTCCATTTTGTCAGCTGCCCAAAATCACATATGATTGGTGGTTCTGCTTCATCAATAAACCATCTTTCCAATCAGCCTCCATGTTATTTCCAGCTTCTTTCTCCCAGCTTGGAACTGAATGAGATGGATATTTCTTCCGACAAAAGCAATTCCCAATGTCCAAAAACCTCCCCCTGTGAGAGTAGTTCAATCAGGTTCTGTTCCTATGTTTTGGGAACCCAGTGCCTCAGGCACTGCTGTAAATTACTTTCCCAGGGCTGGCGTCCTTGAAGACAGGAAGATGGCTCAGTTTGGTACCTCTAATTCCTGTTAGTGTCCATACTCCCTAAATTCCCACAACATTCTTTCATACCCCCAGCACACTTTCCCTCCCAAATGCCCCCATCTCCCTAGTTATGGCAGTTGCTTGTGAGCGTCAAAGAAAGCGAGGATAGTCAGATGACACGGTTCTTCAAATAATTATCAAAACTGTAGGTTATTTTTACATTTGGAATTTCAGTTTAGTATTAAAAGATGAAATGTGGCACTGAATGATACTCCTGAACTATGAAAGCTGACCTCACTCTCCTCACATAGAAGTGAGACCAGCTCTACATCTTTCTGGAGTTCTAGACCCAGAATGATGGATTTCCAAAAAGATGGATCCCAGTTGAATGTGAAAAAACCCCACCCCAATTTCTAAGAGAAAGAGCAGCTGGCAACTGATGCCAATGAATCTGAGATGTGGGTGAAGTAGCTCAGTGATCCCCAACTTTTCTGGTTCCAGAATAAAAATTGTCCTCCAGAGATGGGGGCAGGGGCAGGGCAAGAAGGGAGGATAGCTCTACAAGTAGAACCCAGCTCACATACATGTTCAGATAAAGCTTTGCTCACTCACCTGCTGCTTGCGTGGCTGTTCCCAATAGGCCACGGACCGGTAGCAGTCTGTGGACCAGGACTTGGGGACCCCTGCTGTAGATGACTGGCTTTGACTAGCCTTCTCTTCAACTTCCTGGTGAGTCACCTCCACAAGGAATGTGTTCTTCCCTTGCATTTTTGGTTGAATTACAAAAGAACACTCCATGCATAGAACCTGCCTGCTAATAGCAATAGCAGACTTACATGCCACTCCATAGAGCTTTACAGTACTGTCTCACAGTTACAATGTCAGCATGTCCCCAACAATCTGGGGGCTTGAGAGACCCTGGAAAGGGGAGGGCAGGAAAATAGGGTTGATGCCCTTAGACGCTGAAGGCAAAGAGCATGCCAGGGAATCTTTAATTTATATAGAGAAAAAATGAGTCTGTGGACCAGTGAACTGTCTTTAAGAAGAAACAACCAAGATAAATAGAAAAGGAAAGGAATCACTGCACCCAAGGAAGGAAATAAAACTGGAGAGGAAGAGGGCAGAAACAGAGACAAGGAAGGGTTGGCAAATGCTTAGCTGGCTGATTTGGTTGGATGAAGTTTTGCGATCCATGTTTTTCTGGTTTGCATCATCATTTGGAAAGAGCTTTTAATAATCATGGACATAAGTAGTTAAGGTGCTGGACTAGAAACTAGGAGGCCATGAATTCTAGTGTCCCTTGGGCATCAAAACCAGATGAGTGACTTTGAGCCCATCATTCTCTCAGTCAAAATATCTTCTCTCAGCCAACATATTTCAGAGTGGTGGTTCTGGGGAAAAACAGAACGGGATATTCACCTTAACGTCCCTTTTAAAGAAAGGGTTTGTCTTGGCACCTATAGCCAGTTGAACTCAAATAATCAGCCATTTTTCATGACTGAGATGCTTTCTCTTCTAATTCAGAAAATTACATTGGATCAATCAATGGTTCAAACTTCCCTCTAAATCAAAGAATTTCTGCATTGCATAGGGTTTATTCCCAAGAAGTTCTAGGACTGGAATTCAGCACAAACTCTACATGCAATCACAGCTCTATACTTAGTTAGAGAATATTATTTGGGAACTAGGAAAGAAAACCTTTTATCTTCCACTTTGTGATTCTGGAACACTGCCAGGATTCCTGTCCTGCCCCATTGCATGTATGAAAAGTACACTTAACGGAGAAAGAATGAAGTTAGAACACTCCAACTTTATAAAACAATTCTTCAGACTAAGTGAGAGAGAGAAAACCAAAAGATACATTTTTATTCAAGAAATTATCATGACAAAGTCGAGATTGTCTCCATCTGTGCCTTAGAACCAGGTTGGTGTTTTTATCCCATTACGCTGAGGAAACCAGAAGAGTACCGTATTTTTCAGAGTATAAGATGCACCGGAGTATAAGACGCAGCAACGTTTTGAAGAGGAAAATTTAAAAAAAAAAGGTTTTGCAGTCTGCAAGCCTCCCAAAAACGGCCCGTTTTTTGTGAAAACGGGCCCGGTTTCCCCCACCAAAAAACCATGAATAGCCTTTAGGGAGCTTGCTGAGTGCTCGGGGGGGGGGGGGGCAAAACGAGCAAAAAAATGGGCCCATTTTTCATTTTTAAAAGGCATGGATAGCCTTTAGGAAACTGCTTCTGGGGGTTGGGGGGGCCTTAAAATTGAGGAAAAAATGAGCCATTTTTTGCTCATTTCTGCCCTCCCCACCCTCCAGGAGGTCTCTAAAATCTTCCTAGAGGCTATCTATGCCCTGCATGGCCATTTTGGTGAAGGGGCGGGGTTTCGGGAGGCAAAAAATGCTGTATTCAGTATACAAGACATACCCAGATTTTCAGCCTCTTTTTTGAGGGAAAAGGGTGCATCTTATACTCCGAAAAATATGGTAAATAGACCACAAAAAGTGTTGACAGTCCTCACAATTAACAGTCTGATCAATCAGTGGAATAACAAGAGAGATACAAACTAAGGTTTTAACTGCAAAGAGAGCGAGCTCCAGAGTTGCTCTACTGTCATTCTGCCAGGCGCTTCTAATGGTAATAAATTGAGAGATACAAACAGTGATCAAAGTGGATCTTCCAAAAAAGACTAGATTTAGGGCTGTCTAAGGACAGTGCCATCTGGGATGTGGTGGCTCAGTGACTAAGGTGCTGAGCCTGTCGATCAGAAAAGTCAGCAGTTCAGTGGTTTGAATCCCTAGCACCACGTAACGAAGTGAGCTCCCATTACTTGTCCCAGCTTCTGCCAACCTAGCAGTGTAAAAATGCAAATGGAAAAGTAGAAACCACCTTTGGTGGGAAAGTAACAGCGCTCCGTGCACCTACGGCGTTTAGTCATGCCAGCCACATGACCATGGAGACGTCTTCAGACAGTGCTGGCTCTTTGACTTTGAAATGGAGATGAGCACTGACCCCCTAGAGTTGGGAATGACTAGCACATATGTGCGAGGGGAACCTTTACCTAAGGATGTTGCTGAAGTAATCAGTTGTAGTTATTCTTCTCCATTCTTTTTAGAATTGTCATTCCTTATGTTCCACTCTGGAATTTCATTATGGTAAAAAAAAAACCAGAAGGCTGTAGTCTGCAAAAACTTTGACGCACAATCCATTTATGCAGTTCCAGTCTGTTTTTATGAGTTTCTCTTGAATGGCTTTTTTAATGCTCATACAGGCA